TGCAAGGAACGGATGACTTTATTTCGAATCCTTCGATTGTTCTTTTTAATTTAAAATTTTCGTAATGAAAATTCTAAGAGAAATACGTACATTTTATTGTATTGTAAATATATTTTTAATATGATGAAAAGTACCAATTTAATATCTAAAATTAGTATTTATAAAATTTTTGTTTCGAATTTATTTCATGTGATTTTAAATGTACAAATTTATATTTATACAGAGAAAGTAATTAATTATGGAAAAACTTATTTCTTATCGTCAAATTCTTATCTCGTAGGATTAAAAAATTTGATATTCACAGACATACTTCACGGACATCCCCTTCCTTTCTATTTCACAATTGCACGTGTCAAAACCAGGAATTCTTATATTAAAAATTTTGATGGACGTTCCTTTCAGTAGCCAGAAAGGCACTTAATTACTTCATCAATGTTAACTAAAAGGAAGTAAGATCACGGATAAAAAGGAACGCAAAGTCTTTATAAAATACCGCGTAAAAGTGTGTTCAAACTTGAAAATAGAAGAGAATGATTATTGCTTTTATTTTAGCTAAAAAAAAAAAAAAAAAAAAAAAGAAAAGAACAAAGGCCTTTCCATGCGACGAATGCCTGTTCGAAAAGGATTAGTCGACTAACTCGATTCGAGTAATACGTAAATAAGAAACCTTTCGAAACACGTTTGTTCCCGGATAAAAAAACACAATGCATTGGAAACGATACAAAACATCAAGATATTGAAAGAGACGATTCACAACCGCGTGCAATTCGTTTCAACGTATAAATAAAACAGGATGAAGTGAATCGACACCGTGTCTCTCTCTCTCTCTATCTCTTATGGTGATGAAAGCCTCGAAAGCTGGCATTCTCTTCTGTTTCCAAAATTAACGAGAAGGTATGAAAAGAATCGGTTTAAGCACGGTTCTGAATTGATTTTGGCCGGGACCAAAACTCACAAAACATTGTTTACCGTGATGACGCGACGAAGAAAAAGAGAAGCCGATACCCTTTTTTCCCTTTCTTTTTTTCTTTTTTTTTTTTTTTGACGAGAATGCCCGGAACGTTTTTCACCAAACGGGCAGATTGCCATTTCGCTCCATTTCCCTAGCTTTGCACAGAGAATGATCCGCGTGTTCCAAACGCTTTTCGAAGGGATAAAAGGAGGGACTTGCGAATAGCGAATGAGAGATTAGATCGATCGCGAGTCGAATCTCGATCTATATAAATGAAAAATTGTTTCCTTTTATTATTATTTTCCACGGGAAACAAGCGCGTTTCGGCTCGAGATTATATCGAGTTGGACGAGCTTTGCCGGGATTAATTAAAAATGCCCGCCTGTTATTCAATATTCCGATCCCGAGTTCATAACACGGTTGAAATTATATAACGCGATTTACGGAAGAAACGCGAATCACAGGGAAGTGAAATGGCACGGATCTTCCTTCGGATTGGATTCCCGTTCTCGATCGTTTTCGACGAATTTTGGATAGGTTCGTTCTGTCGTGTCGCAAGTCGTGGAAAAATTATTTTTGCCGGGTATTTTAAAAAAAATTTTCGATTCGAATATTGGAATGTCGATGATGTTTGGAGAAAAAGGATTAAAAAGGATTATTAATACGCTAAGAATTCACGGAGGTGTAAGAGAATTCTAAATAAAAAGACTATTATGACTTTATTTATTGGATAAAAGTATGATTCTAAAATATGTGAAAAATTATCACATAATATTCAAAGAATAAGGCTTGATGATGAGGTTTTTCGTTTGTACAATGTATTCAATATATTACTTTACGAGACGTTAATTGGATTATAATTAAATGTTGGGTTATAATTCTATTTCTGGCTGACTGAATTCTGCTTGAGAGATAACTTCCTTTCAATGAATTCTATATGCTATTGTTCTAACTGATTATAACTTTTACTACTGTTAATTTGTTTCTATTAATTAATCCCTATTGTTATTTAGAATTACATTTATAATTGTTATTATTTTGATGTTTCGATAAAAGTAGAAAAAGTTTTTATTCTTTTCTCTATCATTGTATCTGGGTTTTAAAAAATATTTTATATTCTAACCACCACACGTGCATGTCAGTTATCTCAAGGCACGACTATCCATATTTATTGTGGATATTTTCTACATCAACGATTTTTGATACCAAAACTATTTTTCTTTAAAGCTCGTAACACTATTCTATTTTCTGAACTATAAATTTATCGTTCAAAAGAACAATATTGAAAAATTTCTAAGAAAAAAAAAAGATGAGAAAATTCCTATTAATAATTGAGAATATCTATTAAACCCAAATTACAATAATTTTATCAAAACATGTCGTCATCTTTAAGCTACGATTATATGCAATGTCAATTTTTATTGCATTTCCTTCGAATATCGTATTATATATAATCTTAACAATCTACCAATTCTTTGCGAAATTGTACGATTCGTACGAATTATATTGTTATCGACTTAAAAACAATTTTCTCGCGATCCTCAAAATTTATTATCTGCGCCAATGGCCTGTATGCGAGTTTGAACGATGTTCTACTTAACATGTAGCATCCTGCGCGATAGAAAAATTATTGTCCATCGTAGGACATACATCGAGCCGCGAATTTGGTCTATATTTAATCGATATCCTGAAACCGGAAAACTTGGTGCCAGTGCGTCTGTGTCATTGGCCGCTGGATACTAGAAAATTATACGCTGCGTCCAATGCACACACGTTCCCTTGTCCACTGTCATTTTCCTGGGTGTGGAAAATGTATTTGTGAGAGATCTATCCGCGAAAAAAACAGTGGATTCTAGATATTCCCTCTTTTGTCTCGTTCCTGACCCCCCACACCTGAACCTTTGGCTTTCGGAATTGTTTTTATGAAATGGAAGAAATATCGTGACACGAGAAAAATACGTTTTAAGGGGTCTATCGATCGTAGAGGCGAAAGAACAAAGATTCCTAGCCGAGATTCTGGCTTTTTGCTTTCGCGGAATTGGTGAAATATCGCATTACTGGGGATAAAACATTCGGTCCATGGGTAAAATTCAAAGGGATTCTCGTGTCTCTTAAGCATGGGATAAACCAAGTATACGAAAAATAGGAAGTAAGTTGAAAAAAAAAAGAAAAGAAAGTCTTCGATTGATCAAAATTTAACGTAAAAAATGTTAATATGAAGATTATCCATTTGAATAAATGTTCTCTCTATGTTAATTAATACGATTTATTTTGTTATTTACTAATAATAAATTGTATATTGAATTAAAATTTGTTGAAATACAATGAGCATAAAAAATATAAGTATAAAAATTACATAAATATATAAATTAATTAGAATTATTATAAATTTGTTAATTTAAATTAATGGTATTACACTTTTGAAATTTCAAAAGATATATTTTTGAGAACAAATATTATTCAATGCTTTAATTATAATTATTATACGAATATTTTTTATACTCATACTTACAGTATCCTGAAATATTAAAAATAAGATTCAAAGTTTTCGAATTGGCCGCCATCTTATTTTACATATATTAATACAAGCAAAGAAATCAATTATATAAGCTCTATATATATATATATATACTTACATGCCTATATTTATATAACTACATAATAAAATATGTAATATTATAATAATTCTCTTATTAGTCATTTATTTGTACGTATAATCTAAATACGAAATAAAGCTTGAGGCGTTAAAAATAAAATTCAATGTATGATTCGAATTGGCCGCCATCTTATTTTACATACAAGCACAGGAATCAATTACTTAAACTCTAATGAAGAATGTATGTATTTATGTGCCTATATTTATATAACTATATAATAAAACATATAATATTACAATAATTCTCTTCATTCATTCGTATATGTAATCTAAATATGAGATAAAGCTTTTTTTTATTGTGATTTTAGCAATTATCCTGGCTTCTACGTCTTTCCGTATTGTCGTATAAAGCATGCTACGTATTTAACAGATTTAAAGATTATTATTGTACTTACCACTTCTGCGAATAAATATAGACGATCCTTGTACTTAGATGCAACTCCTTATAGCTTTCTTGATGCAACAATACACTATTTACACAATAAAACTACAAAACTTTCCAAATTTACACTACTGTAACTGCGCACTTCGCTTGACGACACTAGAATGCCAAATGAATAAATGTCGCGCTACGCATGCGTCAAGAGCAAGTACGCCAAAGAAAAGCCCGCCAAATGAATGTCTATTTTCTTAATTTATTAAAAATTAGGAGAAAATTATATGAATATTTGAAAATACAGAAAATTTCAGCATTTTTTTTTCAATTATTTTTATATATAATTTTTGCATTTTAAATTCTTATGAAAAATAATTTTTATAGCAGAATATCGGGAAAGAATGTATCAAATATTCGTTTAATTTTTATTAATTATGTATAATATAAATGTTGTTTGAATTTTATTATTAATGATCGTCTGAATTTATTTTATTAATATAAATTAAACAACTTTAATTAAATAAATGCTATTAAGCTGAAAATACTAATTCTGTAATAAATATAAAAATTTTTTAATTTACATATATTTTCATATTTTGATTATTAATTAAGTATAATCCATATTCTGAAATTAATTTTACATAAAATATTTCAACAAAAATAATTTTATATATTTTTCTTGCATGTCATTGGTTAATTAATAATTGCAAATTGTACTTGATTTGACTAATGACGTGAAGTTCGCCATTAAAGGAAGTGATCGTGCTGTGGAATCATAAGTGGGCATTTATCGTTGAAAAAATAATTAAAAATTTCGTTAAAATAGTTAAAATAGTTAAAAATTTCGAATAAAGTTAATATAACTTATTAAAGTGCTTGAATAATATTTATTTGTAGCTATTATAGTTGATCTATTTTTCATATAACTTTGGTTTTTTGGCTCTTCAGTTATTTGCAGTTGTTTAATATTTTAAACAATAAATTATTAAAATAACTTATTGAAATAACTTTATTCTTAATTTTAACTATTAAATTTTGCCCATCTATGTTTAAAACGTGTATTTTAGTCTAATTTCATGTTAAGTGCATGCATTGAAGCTAAAAGTGATAAAAAATATACCGAAGTGAAAAAACAAGATAGATTTATGTGTTATTCGTTTTGAGCAACCATATTTTACTACTATTTCAGCCATTTCTATGTAAGTAACATCCTGTTGTGAAACCTTTGAAAGTAAATGTCATTGTTCGAAATTTTTGACCTGAAATTCTTTTTATATAGTGGTATGACGTAGTACATTGTGCGATTGACAGACTATATTTCTGTGCGTGACAAGAATACTTCTGTATTACAGGTATATATTACACATTTTTTTTATAATTTATGCTTTAATTTATATTATTTGAATAATATTTTTCAAATTAAAATATATTAGAAATGGGAAAATACAAATGAATATATTTTATTCATAAATTTGATTTTAACCTCAATTATCTTTAATCTACTTTTTCTTGTGTAGCTTTATATTTTGATAATTACAATTAAAGGGATTATTTATTTTATAAATTTATCAAATATTATTCAAATATTATTTAATGTAAATTTAATATTTTGAAAGTATTAACTTAAAATAACCTAAAATAATCTAATAGTAAAATATACTATCAATATATTAGAACGTATTGCAATTCAACAATGAAATATATTATCAATAGATTATCAATAGATTAGAATATATATAGTTCAACAATATAATATATTATATATACTTTTATCATTAAGATATATAGAATATTTTTTGTTCTTTTTTATACAAAAAGAACAGTTTTTTTTTTAAATATTTCAAAATAGATCTTAAAATAATATTCGAATCAAACTTAGATCATGTAAATATATTTAATACTTTTGAATATTTAAGATATTTATTAAAAAATTAATTAAATAATGATTAAAAATGAAAATACTTTTAGAATAGATTTTCAATATGAAAATAGAAAACATTTTTATTTAACAATGATCTTAAAATAACAAATATTTAAAATTATATTAATTTCACAATTTTATATGTTTCTTATATGTTTTATTGATTCCATTATATAATATTTTAGAAATTTATATAATTTAAACATTTAATTTTCACTAATGTATGTTTTGAGAAATTTATATACATAAATAATTATATAATTATATACATAAATAAATATTTAAGATTATATTAATTTCACAATTTTATATGTTTCTTATGTGTTTTATTGATTCCATTATATAGTATTTTAGAAATTTATATAATCCAAACATTTAATTTTCACTAATATATATTTTTAGAAATTTATATACATAAATAATTATATAATTATATACATAAATAAACAAATATTTAAGATTATATTAATTTCACAATTTTATATGATTTTTATGTGTTTTATTGATTCTATTATATAGTATTTTAGAAATTTATATAATCCAAACATTTAATTTTCACTAATATATATTTTTAGAAATTTATATACATAAATAATTATATAATTATATACATAAATAAACAAATATTTAAGATTATATTAATTTCACAATTTTATATGATTTTTATGTGTTTTATTGATTCCATTATATAATATTTTAGAAATTTATATAATTTAAACATTTAATTTTCACTAATATATATTTTTAGAAATTTATATACATAAATAATTATATAATTATATACATAAATAAACAAATATTTAAGATTATATTAATTTCACAATTTTATATGATTTTTATGTGTTTTATTGATTCTATTATATACTATTTTAGAAATTTACATAATTTGAACATTTAATTTTCACTAATGTATATTTTTAGAAATTTATATACATAAATAATTATATAATTATATACATAAATAGACAAATATTTAAGATTATATTAATTTCATAATTTTATATATTTTTTATGTATTTTATTGATTCCATTATATAGTATTTTAGAAATTTATATAATTCAAACATTTAATTTTCACTAATGTTATAATTTTTAATGTTTTATATTCTATCTATACAAAATTTAGCATAGTAATTAAAACAATATTTCAAAATCACTTCAAAATTTTTAATTTTTTTTAGTTGATACTTAAATTTAATCATATATGACTTTCTCTTTATATTCTTTTACTTGATTTACACAATACAAGTTATGTTCTTTTCACATTTATCTCTATTACTATCAAATTCTAAAATAAAGATTGGTTTTCTTTGTTAATTTGTATCTGTAAATACTTTTATCAACTTAAAACTTTTTTATCAACAAAGATTGAACAAAGTAATAGAAAAAAGTAAAAAATAAAATCTCTCTCTTTGAAATAGGAAGAATTTGGATTAGGTTAGACTAGTTTCTCTCAGAAAAAAAAATGTTTTTTTCTGTCGTTTTCTTTGAAATTTCTTCTGAGAATTTAAACAATTGTATGTGTGGCATGACTACGTTGTTTCAAAATCCCATTTACCTTGTGTTAAATGTTTCAATTTCGAATGTGTTAAAAGATAAAAAAGAAAAAGAGAGAAACACGAGCGACAGGTGATCGTGATTGTATTTTATCCACGATCAGAGATTCCTTTGCAGTCGAACAGAGATGAATTGACTTCGTTTTATCTTTTCATTCTGGCTTTCATTTCATTCATTTGATAATAATCTAGTGATCAATTTTTGAAGATACAGATCTGTTTGATGCATCGAATCGTTTCAAATAGAATTTTCTTTTTGTAAACGATATTGCTTGGCTTATACACTTTTGAACACTCGTAAAACGTTGCTCTAAAATTTCATGTGAAAGCCATACAATATGAAGTATCACGATGAATACATTCATACAATGCTTTTCTTCTCGATCGTGATTCTCTAGATCAAATACAAGGAGAAACGCTTGACTAGTTCTTCTTGAATAGTGATGTAGAAACCACGGAAGTTTAGAAGCATTCTAAACTTGGCGATAACTATCCGTAGTGCGGTTCACGAAGATCTCCAAGATTAGCAACTCGTCTTCAATAAGTGACCTCTTGTAATATATCATAATTTGAACATTTAATTTTCACTAATGTATATTTTTAGAAATTTATATACATAAATAATTATATAATTATATACATAAATAGACAAATATTTAAGATTATATTAATTTCATAATTTTATATATTTTTTATGTATTTTATTGATTCCATTATATAGTATTTTAGAAATTTATATAATTCAAACATTTAATTTTCACTAATGTTATAATTTTTAATGTTTTATATTCTATCTATACAAAATTTAGCATAGTAATTAAAACAATATTTCAAAATCACTTCAAAATTTTTAATTTTTTTTAGTTGATACTTAAATTTAATCATATATGACTTTCTCTTTATATTCTTTTACTTGATTTACACAATACAAGTTATGTTCTTTTCACATTTATCTCTATTACTATCAAATTCTAAAATAAAGATTGGTTTTCTTTGTTAATTTGTATCTGTAAATACTTTTATCAACTTAAAACTTTTTTATCAACAAAGATTGAACAAAGTAATAGAAAAAAGTAAAAAATAAAATCTCTCTCTTTGAAATAGGAAGAATTTGGATTAGGTTAGACTAGTTTCTCTCAGAAAAAAAAATGTTTTTTTCTGTCGTTTTCTTTGAAATTTCTTCTGAGAATTTAAACAATTGTATGTGTGGCATGACTACGTTGTTTCAAAATCCCATTTACCTTGTGTTAAATGTTTCAATTTCGAATGTGTTAAAAGATAAAAAAGAAAAAGAGAGAAACACGAGCGACAGGTGATCGTGATTGTATTTTATCCACGATCAGAGATTCCTTTGCAGTCGAACAGAGATGAATTGACTTCGTTTTATCTTTTCATTCTGGCTTTCATTTCATTCATTTGATAATAATCTAGTGATCAATTTTTGAAGATACAGATCTGTTTGATGCATCGAATCGTTTCAAATAGAATTTTCTTTTTGTAAACGATATTGCTTGGCTTATACACTTTTGAACACTCGTAAAACGTTGCTCTAAAATTTCATGTGAAAGCCATACAATATGAAGTATCACGATGAATACATTCATACAATGCTTTTCTTCTCGATCGTGATTCTCTAGATCAAATACAAGGAGAAACGCTTGACTAGTTCTTCTTGAATAGTGATGTAGAAACCACGGAAGTTTAGAAGCATTCTAAACTTGGCGATAACTATCCGTAGTGCGGTTCACGAAGATCTCCAAGATTAGCAACTCGTCTTCAATAAGTGACCTCTTGTAATATATCAGAGAACCAAGATTTACCGAACTTGCATAGCATGCATCTTATAGTCATATTAATTGATCGATAGGAACTTTGTATCGAATAGTTTCGAGTAAAATAGAGTTAATTATTCGTTCTGAAACGCACATCTAAAATCTTAGGATTAGGATCGTTACTAATATCTCGAATTCACACGTTTGGAACGAGATGCAGAAACTTTTATTCTCATTTATGATTATTTATCACGCGATAGATCGCATTCAAAGATAATACAATACAATCCCGAAATATATTTTAATTCTTTACGAAAAGTTGAACTAGCATCTATTTAAAATATCATCCTATTAAATAACAAATACAATCAGAATCGACAATAATTCAACACCCAGTGACGAAATTTCGAAACAATCCGAACTTCATTAACGCGACTCTCCCTCGTCAGATTTACGAATAACTAATTTAACCCACACGATTCAAAGCTTCGAACTTCTAGCTCGAATTGTGAACACTTGCATGAAACAGTTCAGGTTAACTGGATATAGAATTTAACGCGATAGAAGCGCGGGATACGTGGAAACAAATGAGTCGCGGAATGGCGATTACTGTTCGACAGTAACCGTCGAATTCTGCAAATGCAAAGTGTCATCGCGTATGCAAGAATTTCCATTGGTTTCACTTGCAACGTGTTGTCGCGCGCGAGAGGGTGGATCTAAGAAAGTCACTCGACGAGCGATTGATGGAACGTTGAATCGTTAAATTCGGAGAGCGGGGTCGAATATAGTTTCGTACTTTGGCGAACAGATAATTAGCGGAATGGAAGGAATTGATAGATGGTTAAATGGCAAGACATCGAACGAGACCAATGGCTTATAGTTGGATCTGTGTATGGATGAAAGCGCAGACGGAGTTCACGTGGAAATAGCTGATTCCAATTTAGCAGTTTCTCGAGTAGGGATTATTTGAACTCAAACCAATTAACTGAGCTTAGGTACGTACGGTGATACAGAGTATCTTGTGTATAATTATTTACCATTGAAATTAGGCAAATCATCCTTTTTTACGTATATATGGAGTGAAATTTTTGAGATTGAGAAAT